TGGCCACATTCCATTACCCCGAGAAAGCTGTGGCCCTGCATTTTTCTATGGGATAGTTGCCAGGAGTGTTGCATCATAAATGCCAAGCCTGGGTTTACCTGTATGAGGGCTCCATTCACATCCTGTTTGCTTTGGGCAGAACCACGTGCCTGCAGGGCAGCTTTACTCCATCCTGCCTTTCCTTTGTAGACACAGGAGCTGTTGTTACGTACAGTGTGTTCCTCGTGGACATGTTCTATGTGAGGATTGACGTGATCCCTTTCTATGTCTGCTTTGTAGGGATTTATTCCTATTGCCATCTGGAAATCATGTTTGGGAGGGATCTTGAGACTGGGAGATCAAAGGAATATCCCCGTAAAATGTGAGTTAAGGGGGGCAAGGTTCTGGGTCCTACTTTGGATTAGTCAGTTTATCCTTGGTTCTTATCAGTAGTGGGGAAATTACCTGACTGTGCAGGTGAGTCCCAGCAGAGCAGGTTCAGTGACATGCCTGAAGCCAGCTGGGACTACTAGGACAGAGTAAATAATTGAAGCTGGACCTGCTGTTGTCTTTAGAAAGACAAACTTCTCTTGGAAAGCCTCTGGCTTCCCCCGTGGCTTGAGTATCCTGAAATGAAGCTGACTCTCAGCTAGGCTAGAGCAGCCACCAGAAGATGAAGGGGTGAGCAGCACCTCGTGAGCACCCTACAGCAGTCACAAACCAGTATCTCTCCTACTTCTGCCAGAAGCGATAAGTAAATAAGTAAAAGTGCCCCCTCATACATCTGCAACCACTGCAGCTTTCTAGCTCCTGTTATCCCAATTATGTAAAGCCTTCGGAGAGGGGCTGCTGGGTCAGACAGACTGTGTCACGTCAGGTCGTGCTGAAATCCATATTCCTAGAAGGATTCCTGAGACCGGCCGCGATGGGTCACGCTGGGGTGGCTATGGCCGTAGGAGAGGTGCTGCAGCCATCGGGGCAGCGCTATCTCATCTTTCCCTGCGCTGCATCGTGGCCCTGATTTATGGCAGAGCTGTGGCTGTGCAGCTTTGCCCCGTTGTTCACGTGGAGCAGTTCATCCGAGGCGAGCGGAGCGGTGCCAGGAGCAGTCCCGCAGCCCCTCTTCGCCAAGGGTAGCGTCTCGGATCAAAGGAATAAAACTTTCTGCTTTCTGCTCTCCTTTGAAGCTGGGCAGCCACTGGAATTTTGGAGTTTTGCTGAAAAAGTACTCGGTCTGTCTTTTCATCTCTGTAGCATTCTTTCTGGTGGGTGAGACTGGGGTGTTTTTTTTTGTTTTTTAGCCCTTCCCATGTTGAAAGCATCGCAGTGTAGTAACTCCACCACTCTCCTTTAGGGAAGACAAACATTATTACATAGTGGGAAAAGCAGAGGGATGGGAGTTGAAGGGCTCAGAAGCACGACTGACGTGGAGGAATCTCTCACCCCTGTTCAGAGTCTCTGACCTTAAATGTTTTCTTGTTTTTGCAGCGCCTGTTTATCTGGCACCGATGTGTTTTTAAGGGCTGAATACAGGCGCTTCCGTCGCTTTTCGGTTTTTGGACTGCGTCGAAAGCTGTTGCCTTTTATGTACACCACCACCGTCCTACGGTCTGTCCAGCAGGCTCCATGCAGAACCAGCACGGGAAAAACAGCCCCGAGAAAGTCCGTGTTTAATGGGGAGGCTGAAGCGGCCATTGTGAAAGCATCGGGATGCCTAAATGGGGAAGGGAATGTCACTGTCACACCTCTGAGGGCTGTCTCGCTAGCGGGAAAAGCGTGCTTTTGGATGCGTTAGCTCATGCTTTAAATATCCCTCTGTAAACAGGGAGAGGTTTATTTTTAGCAAAATCGCTGGTCGAAGTGAATCCTGGATCCTCGGTGTCCTCCCCACTAGGATTCACTAGAGGTGCTTTTAGCAGATGAACTGGGATCTGTGCTTAGGGATATTACACCGTGTTTTCTTCTCTCTCCCCTCACCTCTCCCTGTACCATGGACATACTGTAAGCCGACCTTGCTCACCTTTATTTTCTCCTCCCCTGTATATCTGGACAGCGTCCCTCTTGGCATACTGGTTGGAGGCAGATATATCCCAGTCTCGCTGCAGCATGACAGAGCTGTGACTCTGCAAACTCTGGTGGTGCTGGCCTGATGCTGAAAAGCCTCCAAGTCTGGGCACGAGGTGTCTTGCTAATTAGATGCACCGTGTTTTCCCTGGCCAGCCTGGGATGGAGAGACCCTGGGACGGTGGGTTACACCTGGGGGAGGTGGTGCGGCGGGTTCGACGGTGCAGATTCTCGCTGCTTGCTTGCCAAAGCAGGTCAGCCAAAGCCCGGCTCGGGGGTGCCCATGGGCACCGGGGTGCCCTTCCCAATGGAAACAGCTCTGGGTCGTTTCAGTCTCACCCGCTCTGAATGCCCAGACGCTCCCAAAATGCCAAAGGGCCTTAAAAGGCATGATTAAAAAAAAAAAGTGAATCTGAAATTCCGTTTTTGCTTCTGGAAAAGTAGGATATATTGGATCATATACAGAATATATATCGGAATATATAGAATATATTCATTCTTGTAGGATATATTGGATCACGTGCTTTTCTTTGCAAAGACATCTGACTCTTTAATTTCTCCAAACTTCAAATGCTTTTATAGTAAGATGACACTGGATCCTAGGGGGGGGTGTGGGGCAGTGTGGAGCCGACGATCCTGAAAGGCATCATATTCTGGGATGTGCTATCTGTTGCCAGTCTGTTGCAGTGGGACTGGCTTTGCTCTTCCCTACCTAAAGATCCCCTACGAGCAGCCTTTAGCTGAGCAGGATATGGACACTTAAATGCCCTCAGCCTGATGCCTACCACTGCCGTGCCATGGCTGTAGTGGCTCTGGCACCCCTGAGATTTAGTGATGCAACTCGTATCCCTTCGTGCCTGCCTGTGCTCTGAGTCACCAGGAAGTCCTGTCGCTGCTTGCAGAAATGCTAAGTCTAATCCACGTTGTCAGACCCAGATACTGACTGCAGTCCCTGAAGACCAAGCTCTCTGAAGCTACATCTGAGCCTGTCCGTGCCTGTATGTTCCAGGAAGGCTATTCCCAGCTCTGGCCAGGGCTCTGTGTGTGTTTCCCTGAACTCTTACCGTCACAGTTGCTTTCTCACAGGCTGGGCAGGATGCAGGGTGGCAGAGGGCCAAGAAGACCCTTTTAAAGCCCAGATACTCCTTCCTCCTCCCACGGTTTCATCTCTTGATTGGCAGTTTACCGTGCCCTTGCCGGGAGGAACGTGCCTTTGCTCCGAGCTGCTGAGCCGTGAGCGGCTCTGGAGCGTGGCCCTGCGGGTCCCGTGCAGCCGTCCCGTGTCGGAGGGGAGGTGGGCACTACGTGGGGTGCTGGTGCCCGCGTCCTTCGTCCTTCGCGTGCGCTCCGCCGGGTACGGCTCTGCAGTTCCTCCGAGTAGGGGTGCGTCGGGGCTTTCCCTGTGATGCTCAGCGTGTGTTGTGGGTCTTAAGGCTCTGGGTGCTCTTGATGGGCAGTCACCAAACCGTCCGACTACTGGTATTTCTGCCTCCCACCTTTATCCATCATCTTTCCCTCCTGGTTCTGAAGCACTCCGTGCAGCTCAGCCCCCTGGGGACAGGCATGGAGCCAGAGTCTCCTCTGGCAATCTCCTGGAGAGATGGGTGAGCTGATGAAGGTGCTGCTGAGCCCCCTTTGTATCTTCTCTGGGCGTTTGATTAAGGCTGAAATATCTACATCAAATGCTCAGGGCTTTAACTTGTGAGTGCAGATCTAGCCTCAGGAGAGGGTGATCTACATCCAAGCTGAATATTTTGGGGAGCAGCCGTTTGGCTCTGGTTGAAGCAGTGGGATCCAGCGAAAACACGCTGCAGGATGTGGGAAAGAGCCTTTGCACGAGGGCAGAGGCCAGCCTGGAATGGATCCCACAGGGAAAAGCCTCCAGCTCATGGAGAAGGGTTGAGATCCGCTCCTCCCCGAGCTGCTCGGTGACTGGTCAGCTCCAGGGGCTGGTGACAAGCTGGCACGGAGACAATGAGGGGTGGCACGGAGGCAGGGGAGACGAGGGGAGGGCATCCAGCACGTGGGGCACCGTCATTCTCTGCATGACATTTGCACATCTCTATAACAAGCAACAGGCTCTGGGGAGCAGGGCATGAAAATAGTAAGTGATTTGGAGGAGCAGTGAAGGTTTTAGCCGTTGTTTTCTCTGGAGCAGGTGAAACTCAGGCAGTCAGCAGCTGTGTGGCTTTAGCCAAGCCCTAGTCCATGCCATCCCTTGCCTGGTAGTGCCACGCTGGATAGCGGCAGGAGCGGGCGAAGCAGAAGAGGGTGATGGGGAGCAGGGCAAAAAAAAGTAGGAAATTAGTTGCATTAACCACAGAGTGACTTGTAGGTAACGGGAGCTTCTTGGTAAGCAAAAAGCTGCTGGGGCACCGCTCCTGGCACCGCTGGTCAAGCAGAGGACGAGGGTTTCCTTCGACCTGGCGGCTCTTCCCGTCTGTGCCGCTGCCCTGGGTGCCGCGGGGTGGGTCAGGACAGGGAGGTCCGTTCGGCCGTGTCTCTGGAGCGGGCAGCACGGCGTGGCCTCGCGGGCTCTTAGGTGCTCTCGTTCTGCAAACAGCCACCAATCAGTTCTGCAAGGTCGTCCTGACGTTTCTGTGGGGTTTTCACGCGCCTGGAGCGTTACGTTGGATCCACTTCACAGGGATGGCAGCCGAGCACTTGGATGCTGGCGGCTGCAGTAACCACGGTTCTTTCCATGCCCTCCGAAGGGCACTGCCCAACGCAGCAGTGCCCTGCTCAAACCACCTGTTGCCGAAACGAAACACGGAATAGGGAAGCGGTGGCTGCAGAGCCTTTGCTTTTGCAAAGTTTCTGTTTTAGGAAGAGACTCTTTGTGTTTGCTGAAGTTTGAGCAAAAAGCAAATGCTGATTTGTCATAATTTTTTTTTTTTTTTTTTTTTTTTTTTGCTTTGCCTCATGCCATCCTGTCTCCTCTTGCCCGTTTCCCGTAGTGCTCCTCACGGCGGTGAACTGCTACAGCGTGAAAGCTGCCACTCGTGTTCAGGATGCCTTTGCTGCAGCAAAACTGCTGGCGCTGGCTCTGATCATCATTCTTGGCTTTGTGCAGCTTGCAAAGGGTGAGTACGTTTCCGTTTTCTTCTGAAGGTGCTGAGCAGTTAAAGCAGAATCTGGGATTTAGGGTCAAAGCCCCGGAGTCCTAACCCAAGCGTTCCAGAGCTTTACAAGCGTCTTTTCTACTCTTACATGCTTGGATGATATTTCCAGCCTGTGGTTTGCAAAGGGCTGAGTGCTTTTGTGCATTTTATTTGTGAGATTTTGTATTTACCTCGCTGGATTTCATGCTGCTGGAACCCAGTGTGCACCACCCAAGGTCTTTGCCACTTGATGCAGTTGGTGCACAGTCTCCCTCTTTGAGATCACGGAGCTGCCACGCCTGTAGGGAATGAAAATTTTGGCACTGTGGCTCTCAAAAGTCTTTTCTGTAACTGGTGGCTGGTCCTGGCCATTTGCTGGTAGAGGAGTATCTGCGTGTGCAAACCAACCCCCAGCAGTTTTCATTCTTTCACAAACTGCCCCTGTACTTCTGCTTCAGGTGTGGAATGGCTTGATCGGGTCCCACTGGGACGCCTGGGTCAGGCAAGACTGCAGAAACCACACGATGAGCAGTGGTATTAGGGCTCTCAGCTGAGACTACTACACACGTCTGTCAACTACCATCCAAAAAAAGAAGATAAAAACAGGAAGATAAAGCAGAGTTTCCAGTGGTTTTGCTCATTTTCTTCATGCCCATTTAAAATTCGCCCAAACTTGGGGAGATGTTTTTTCCCAAACCCATCTGATTAACCAGCCCACGCAGATAAGCTTTACTGTGTGCTTTTTGTGTGAGTTTTGTGAAAATAAACTTTTCTCAGGGAACAGTACAGGCCCTATTTGTTAAATGTGGGTTAAAGTCTGTAGATAGTTCCTCCTGTCTCTGTACTGGCGTGTGTGTGCGTACGTTTGTGCGTGCACGTGGGTCTTTTTAATTCCTGTCTCAGCTATGGGAGCCAGTGCTGTCTTTGCAGAATTTCTTGCTTTATCAGGGGTTTTCTTTTCTTCCAGCTCAATGCCTGCACTCAACAGGAACATTGTTTGAGGCTTATCACAAAATACACCTCTTTCCTCTTCATAACTCCCCAGGCTGCTGTGCTGAACTGTTTTTTTCTATCTTAGAAGGAAAAGGATAAGTAAACATAAATGTCAGGTCGTTAATGTTTTACCAATAAAAGGTCTTTAGAATTGTGTTTAGCTTGCAGGTAATAATCTTAGTTTGCATCTTCAAAGTCACCTTCCCTCCCTCTGTACTGTGCTTTTGTCTTTTTGTTGAGGGTGAAACACTTTCTGCCCTGGTTCCTCAGGTATAAATAAATGGTATTTCCATTGACTTATATCTGTAACCAATAAGAGATTTCAGTCTTGTCTGAAAAAAAACCCCATCCTATACTCTTCTGCCTCAGAAGCTTTTTACCTCCTATGAAGCCTATTACAATTTCAAGTTTTTGGTAGGTCTGGAGAGGTTCAGCTATGACTTGTGTGCATCTTGCAGTACAGCTCATTTCACGTGACACTTAATTTCCTACTAAACCACTTGGCCACTTCAGACAGAGTGAAAGGTAACGAGATCAAAAGCAATAGTTAGATGATAACATCTGAAGGCAAGGACCTTTTCTTCCTGTCTGTGCACGAAACACTCAACATAAAGCAAACTGGATCAGAGTGGGAACCTTGGGACCTGGAGAGGATGCTCCTCGCAAAGCCCACGTTTCCCCCTTGCCCTAAGTGGCACGCTGCTGCTTGTCCCAGTTCCTGTTTTACAGCATACCACCTGGGATCCTGCCTGTGGTCTAGCATGGATTTTATTAATCTCCTTATGGAAGTTGCAAGCTCTCTGGTAAGTCCTTAAGAATGTGCAAGCTCCTTTCATGTGCCCTTCCTTAGCTTCCATGTACATTTTGCAACTTTCTCAACTTTTCTCTAAATCATGCCAGGTGACTTGATGCTTTTATGTAGCAGGGATGTGTCAAGAAACTGTCTTTTTTTTGTCTTCTTCAAGGAAAGCATGCTAGCATCGCTTAAAGCACACGGAAAATGGGAGAGCGCTGCACACACTTTTCCACCTTTGTTGGGACGACAAATGATGGGTGCAAGCTGAGAGGCGAGAGAAATTTAAATTAACCCCTAGAACAACACTTTTAACTGTAATGCAGAGCTTGAGTAGATTCCCCAGGGAGGCTGTCTCGAGGGAGATTTACAAGAGCAGGTTACCAAACGCCTCCCAGGAATGGTTTAACCTGCCTTGGAGCAGGGAGACGAAGCCAGTGCCCCTGGGAGACCCGTGTCTGTGGTCTCTGAGGCTGCGCTGTGTTACTGGCACAGTGCAGAGCTGCTGGATCTTCTCCAGGTGCAATACTATAGGGCCAGTCTTTTACAGCGCTGATGCTTTTAAATGGGTAATTTTTTTTTTTCCTAAAAGTCTTTTTAACCTCGGAGTAGGTGGGTGATCCTGGGTCCCATACACAGCTGCAGCACTGTGCCTTTCCTGCTCCTCTGCATCCCCTGGTTTTCTTTCACACCCATTCCAACGCTCTTTGGACAAGGAGGACTCTTCCCATTCCACCTCAGCACACTCAGTCCCGAGCTGGCAGCTGTTATTGGGGTGAAATACGCGCCGAGTTGATTTGTGTGGGGCTGGTTTTCCGCGGCGCAGGGATTCCGTGTTCCCGCGACGCTCGGGATAGTGCCCGTGCAGAGCTGCTGATCTTGCTTTCCTGGTTGCTGGCCCGTTGCTGCTCCATGTTTACATTATCCATAAACAGAGAAGAGGAGCAATACCACAGTTTCTCGCTCAAATGTGGAAACTTCTGAGACTTCACAGAAGTCTTTCTCATCTCGACCTCCCGCCTTCAGCTTTTGACTTCTTATTTTTTCTTGTTATCCTTTCATTGGATATTTTCATTATTTTCAGAAAAGCAGCAACATCTCCAGACAAAGAAGTATGTGGCAATATTACCACACAGAAACCAGCCTTTCCTTGTGATCCTTCTGTGGACAGCTGTTTCACATCACTTCTTTCATGTAACCTCAAAAGGAGGGTTGAAGTTGGTTTCCTACTTTTCAGCTACTTGAAAGTTGACTCAGTGCAGCTGGCCCACTTGGGATGCAATTATTTACTAACACAAAAAGTTATACTTTTAAAAGCCTCTGTAGGGCTAGACTTGTGCTGCTTTCAAAGTTCAACGTCCTGCACTTGAACTATTGGTCTGTAAAACCTTATATATGGACTCCCAACTGTACAGCCCGCCAGTCTGTAGCACTTAAATAGGATAAATAACTTATAGCATAGAGCGGATCAGGATTTTTTCACTCCAATCTTATGAAAACTAGGCTTATTTTTGGTTCTGCTGTTTTACCAGCTCTCAGAAATTGCCTTTTGTCCCACCACCTCTGGGTATTTTTTTGGCCATATTCTTGACCTGGTGAGCAGGATGCCTGGGACTGGATCGTGCAGCTGGTTTGGACCGTGGCTGTGCAGGTTTAAAGGATGTTTTCTGCAGTGGGTGTAACACAGAGGTCTGTGGCTCATCACCCTGCACCTCACAGTGCCTTAAAAACTAACCTAGACATGAAATGGTAACAAAAAATGTGCTGATCTGTAAAGGTACACTCATGCTTTTTACATGCAAGGAAATTCAGGAAAGGTTTTGATGGCAAAAAATTCTAAAAAAAAAAAAATGTATCGCAGACATATTTCAGATATATTCTTTTCTGTTGTCAATGTCCTGAGGTTTGTAAAATGTGTATCTGCCCTTGGGCAGCTCAGCAGTGAGGTGCCTATCCCAGCTCCAGCCCTCGCTGCGGTTCCTCACCCGCCGTTCTGCTTTTATTAAAAAAAAAAAAAATTAAAAGACAATTGAGTGTTTGGGACTTAGGGAAATAGAATTTAAGACTCCTTTTATTGAATTATTTTTATTGAACTTATTGTCCCTTTTCCCTCTTAATGCCTGGTTTCTGATCTGAAATTTCTCATCCCTGGGGCCTCAAGTGCCTGTTTGGTGGCAGCAGTGTTATTGTCACTCTCTTCCTTGGGCTCGTTGGAGAGCGGCAGAGTTGTGTCTGCTGAACAAGCACGGGGTGAATTAAGGACAAAGTAGGCAGGTTTAACTCCAGACATTTGCCATGGAGAACTCAGACTAGGCAGAGAGTTTTGGGTTTAATCTTGTTTTTACTTTAAATAGATGTTTCCAGTATCAGCCAGCACCGGCACCCCCCAGCCCAGTATCAGTTGCTTTTTGTAAAAAGGTATTTCGAGGTGTAGTCGTGGCTGGAAAGTTCAGACCTCGACACCAGAGGGTTTCTGAAATGAAGATTCGCTCCTTCAGTCGTTTATGTGGGCTTAGTGTGTCTGTGAAGCCTCTTAAAAATATTATCTGAGTAGCCCAGGTGCAAGGCACGATCTTGGCGCCGTGGGTGTGCCTGCACGTCTGGGTGCTGCTGCCATTTATCAAATCCCTTCGTCTTTTGCTAGAAAACGCCCCTTTCGTCTCTCCTTTTCTCTGTGAGGGTTATTTTGGTCATTCCCTGTCCACACTTTTTTCTTTGCCTTTTTTGTTGGTGAAAAATCCTGTGGTTAAGAGCAACCTGAGGGAGGGAAAGTTTACTCGCTTTTCCGTTCCTCCCAGATTTTCTTCTCTGCTGCCAGTGGCAACATCAGTGGAACGTCCCAAAAAAAGCCCCTTGAGCCAGACCTGCAGCAAGACCCGGGGGCTGAGCCCACGAGCTCTGCAAACAGCAAAGGCGACGTCTTTGCATGCATTGTGCTCTGTCATACACACCACGGTAGCCATCGCACCGGTGTCTGTGCCCGGAGGGACCAGCTCACCCAGGGCACTGGCTCTAGGACATGACCTGGGACATGAGAATCTTCTGGTGGTGGAGCTGTAGGTGTCTGGGCTGAGTTTGGAGCCCAAAGCCAGAGCAGATGGGTGTTCACCCAGCCAGCCCATGACTAACTCGCACTGTAGATCCTCTTTGGCAGACAGGAGGCAAAGCTTATGGATCATAAATGTCCTTCAAGCTT